GTAGCGATGCACTTGTTCCTAGTAGCGTCCTTGTTCCTAGTAGTAAGGCCAGGAGCCCCTAGTAGCGTCCTTAGTATTCTATTCTATTTTGGCCCATCTGAATCCTGCTTTTTGAGAACCACGGCAGCATCCAGTTCTGGAACCATAAGACCATGAGCCACGGTCTGCAAAACTAAGACTCCGTGGCGGAGTTGATGCGCTTGGTTGTTTGGAGAGACGAGATGGGGCGCAAGGCCACTCTGAGATTCTCTTAGTGTCTGCTTTTTCGAAGAAGATCACACCCGATGCCGTCACTAAAGTATTGCAATCCTCACCACCCTTCCGACCGTTCAGGTTTTGTGCAACTTCTGTGCAAAGCTGCACCAGGTGGAGCAATCATCCGTGACTGCACTGTCTTTGGTCCTCTATCCTCCACAACCAGCAAAGCATGAAGATACATTATACATATATAATATTATAGGCTCTTTATAGCTCTTTGATGTGTCAAACATACATTAAGCTTCATGTTTGTCACCCTTTCAGTGCAGACTAATTCAATTGCATGGCATCATGGGGCATGTTCAGGCAACTGTAGGAGGCAAGTGTTGCTTTTTCATCCTATGGCAAGGGCACCCCAGCATTCCAAGGAATTCGTGGTGACCCTCAACATAACCTGGACAGCAACCTCTGTTGATGTTAACTTGTCAACGGTCTTTGATCTTGTACGGTTGTAAGAGTTCGATCTCGTGGGTCTTGTTGCACAAGACACAATTTCTTCTCGGCAAATGACACACGGAGACGGCTCTCGTTGGCTGGGCTGTATAGGTCTTTATATATCTCTATATATATATATATGTTTTTTTGTTTTTTTCTCGTTACCATCGTTCCATGTTGCTTGCTAGATCCGCGGCCATTGGTACAAGGACATGAGATACACAGCAAAAGTCAGCAAGGCAACAATTGTTGGTCGCATCGACAACTTGGTCACAAGAAACTTATTTGTCGTCGTTGCTGTTGCTGCTATTGATTGTATTTGGAGTCCAACACTTTTTCCGATGTTTCCGAAAGACACTGAACGCACGACACTGAAAACGGAAACATACAGCGCCGTAGAATCAAAAGGCCGTTGAGGCAACTTTCAGGTCATAGTCATAGCCTCGGACAAAAGAGCAGAGGAATGAGAGAAACAAGGAACAAAACCGGACAGTTTTTATTTTAGGTATACATGCAGTGTATACATATACAATTATATATCCCACAATATACATATATACAGTACACCCTTGTTCAGTTTAATGGGGGAGGTATGCCACTACCAAGAAAGCTACTAAGCGGAAGAGTTCTACTAGCTGGGACGCAGAAAAGCTCAGAAGAACTCTTTGCATGGATTTGGTTCCTAGGAGCAAGGACGCTACTAGGGGTTCCTGGCCTTACTACTGGGAGACTAGGAGCAAGAAGCTACTAGGAACAAAGGGCATCGCTACTAGGAGCAAGGGCGCTACTAGATTGGGAAACTAGGTAACTAGGCTTTTGAACTTTAGGAGTACTTTCTTCCACCCCACAGACCAGGCCCATGGAGGACAAGGCCACAGATGGAAGCATCTACTGCTTCCTGGAGGTGAGGTGGGTTGCATGCTGGCGGAAGCAAGGAGTACTTTCTTGAAGAATTACTACATCCTGGTCCTCACGTTTGGCTTGCAGGGTTCTTTGAGCAACGTTTTGATCAGACTGATTGACTTATTCTGCACTCAAGAGTTCGTGTGCTCTGCCCATGCTGAGTACTCTCAGATAGATTAGTCGCATCGGTTTGCACTGAATGTTGCCGTTACTTGCGTCGAAAGGTCTTCGGGAAGTCGCATCGGTTTCATGATTCCATGGGGTTTTATATTGCTTTGAGAACATGCGACATGCAAATGATCTAGCTATTCCCTTGTTTTACGATGATTTTCACATGGGCACCTTTCTTTCAATGCTACTGGGGCCTCGCTTAGTCGTATCAAAATGGTGTGCCCTTGGGGATTGGCTTATCTATGGATGTTTGTTGTTGTTCTATTTGTTCTACGAACTGATGTTAATGTGCTGTGCCCATGCGTTGCTTGCTTGTGTGATAGATTCAACAACCTTGTTGCGTCATTGCATCGTGTTTTTGCAACAGACAGCGTGAGCTATTAGGGTTCTTACTTCAAGGAACTGCATGTGTGCGTTTTCGAGCATGGGTGCTGGTGCCGCTGCAGGGTGCCGCTGTTGTTCCAGTGTAGGAAGAGCTGCGTGTTTGCGTGCTCAAGCTTGGGCGCTGGTGCCGCCGCAGGGTGTGCTGGGGAGCTTGGGTGCTGGCGCGTTGCAGAGTGCCGCTGCTGTGTGCGCTTGAGAGCTTGGGCGCTGGTGCCGCTGCAGGGTGCTGCTGTGTGCACTTTGGATCTTAGGCATGTGGCCATGTGCACTTTGGAGCTTGGGTGCTTCTGGGCTTGGCATGATGTTTGGGCTGGGATGTGCTGCCTTGGACCTCGCCTGGACCTCGCCCGGGCCTCGCCTAGAACCACCATATCCTCCTGCTGCTTGTATGCTTGTGTGCTGCTTGCCTTGTGCATGTGCTGCTTGTCTGCTGCTGCTTGTGCTGCTTGTGCTGCTGCTGCTGCTGCTGTTGCTGCTTTTCTGCTGCTTGTGCTGCTGCTGCTGCTGCTGCCGCTGCTGCTGCTGCTGCTTCTGCTGCTGCTGCTTTCCGCGATACAATACCTAAACTTTCTGGCAATTGGTGCAAAAGAGTAAGCGCCTTGTAGAAAGGAACCTGGTGTGACCCTAATGTAGAGCAATCTGTGAGCTAGAGCTCCTTGCTGCTTGAATTTTCGTGAGTCATCCATGCAAGCATCCTTGCTTCGGCTTTGCAGCCATTTGGAGCCGCTCACGTGCTCTACAGCACTTCCTTCGGTACCAATGGCGCAGGGCAGTGGCGACTGTGACATGACACCTGAGAAGAAACACCTGGCTGCTGCTATTGCTGTTGTTGTTGTGGTGGTGGTGGTGGCCGCTGCTGCTGCTGCTGCTTGTTTGCTCCTGCTGGTGTGCTGCTTTGCTGCTGCTATTGCTGTTGTTGTTGTGGTGGTGGTGGTAGCTGCTGCTGCTGCTGCTGCTGCTGCTGGTGTAAATGCCTACTGCTGCTGCTTCCGCAATGGAAATGGAATATTTTCGTATAAAGCCAAACCATTTTTCAAACACTAAAACGCCTTGTAAACAGGAACCTGATGTGACCCTGATGTGACCCCGTCGCATCGGGCCCCCCCTTGCAGATTAACAGTTTTCCAGTCACCTGATGTGACTAATATTGGTGACAGTATCCCGCTTGCAAATGCCGGGCCCAAGGTGGCACAAGTTTCCACCTGGGAAGGTAGTGTAAGTAGTAAAAGTAGAGCAGTTGCCTTATGTGGGCAGCTCTCTTTGGGCCGAAAAAGCCTGAGAATGAGCATAACATACAGGTGAAATTTGCACCAGGATGGACCTGTGGCTTCATCGAGCCACGTTCGATGCAAATGCCTCCAAAGTGGATGTCAGATACAGAAGATTGGGAGAGTGTGAACTCATTAGCCTGGCAGGGAATTATTCGTACAATTGAGCAGGCTTTGCACTCTCAGCAAACTGAGACCTTCAAGAGAAGAATCAGGTGCGAATAAGTGCCGTCAAGAGTGTGCGTTTTGCTTGAACTTTTCAAAGTGTCTCTAGAGTATCTTCAGCTACATTGACCTTCAGCTACATTGAATATTTGCCACATTGTGTTTTTGTTTTTGCAAAGTCTCACATTTAACTTATTTGGCACAGGTGGCGAGGATGTCTTGCGGCCTGCTCCATCATTGGTCTCATTCTAGGCACAGTATGCGCTGTCCAACAAGAAACTGCATATATAACATAACATTATACATACACACACATATATAGCTTGTACTGATTTGTACCATCCAGTGTAGAGCTTTCTCATGAAAAATCTATTGGCAAGAATAGAAACAGACGACACCAGGTCAGCGCTTATTGCCTATATTGGCGCAGAATTCTAACGGTACAGTAGAGGAAGCAGTGTGCTGATGGCAGCTCGAAACACTCTTGCACAACTAGGGCACAATATTGCACTCTAGATGACAACTTGGGCCAGCGAAATTATATACACAACACAACTATTTCAAATGAACGAATGACGAATTGAAAGCGAATCTTACATTCGTGGAAAGACGTATATAGTGTAAATTAATTGTGACAGCTGTTCCAATGCTCAACTTGCCGCATGACATCGATGATGTGCATAGCGACATAAATAAAATCAAAGAAAGAAATACATATATATATATATATACAGTTCTATTCAAATAGGTACGTATAATCAAGAGAGCAACGCTTCAAGATCAGCACTAGAAAGAAACATGCCGGTGGTCACAAAGAAGGAAGGATGCCGCAGCTGAAACCTGGACAAAGGAGGGATAACAAAAAGACAAAGGGCCTTTCCATTGCGTAAATCGGTGGATTTGGACACTCAGTAATTTCAGCAGTTTTTGCCGGTCCTTCTCATTCAGCCGCTCTATCCGTGCTCACGCGGTGGAAACGGTAGCGCAATTGGCTGAATCGGCGTAAAGGGCTGAAATCCTGAAACGGCGGACGAGCAAAAAAGCGAGCGGATCCAGAACGCATCAGAACGCAGTAGTGGACATTTCGGTCATACAAGCAGCTCATATGACATGTTAATGTGTCAGGCTTTTTGTGCAAAAAGACATGGGGACAGAGGCTGTTGCTTGATGGAAAGCGGAATGCAATACGCTTTAGTCTTTGGACTCAATTGGTGTTGACCTCACACGAGCCAGTGCCGTTTAGGCTTCATGCTGGGCTTTCTCCTCAGCTTCTTGGGATGCTCCGATGGCAATCCAGGAATGTGCGCAACAGGCCTAACCTTCGCTGCAATTTTTGTTTTGTCCTTGATTGGCTCCTCGGTTGGCGAAAGAAGTAGCAGTTTTTTGTTTTCTTTTTTTATTGCTCAGTCGCTTAAACAGGTCTGTGAGATCTGTTTAATTGCACAAAGATTAAAGTACACCCTGAGCCACCCTTGCCTGAGACCCAGGGAATTCCGATTCACTTGCCCTCCGAAATTAAACATAGAAGTGGATAGACATATCTATAATATTATATAGTTATATACAACTAGATGCTACTAGTAGCAAGAAGCTACTAGGTTGGAGGCCATCGCTATAAGGTT